TAGACCTATAGACCTAAGAAACCCTATATATTATATATATTATGGTTGTTATTAATAGTGAATAAATCTAAAGCTTTTGAGACTATTATTTTGTGTTATTTCATTTGTCATTGGGGGGGGGGGCTTTTTCAGTTTCAGTACATGCCCCTCAAAAGGTCTGTGCACGGCCCTGCTGGTAGGGACTAACGTTAGCGTCTCTACTAAATTCTACACCCTTAGATATTAAGAATTGTTCATTTATTGAAATTTAGACCTCAAGATCATCTTAGTAGTCTCTAACTTTCACTAATTTACAGTGCAAATAAATGAATGAATGATGAATAAATAAATAAATAAATAAATAAAATATAATTAATAATTTTCTTAGAATTTTTGACTTTGTTAAATATAAAACCAAATAAAAATTTAAACCAAGATTAATTTATTTGAGATGCAAAACTGCATTAAGAATTATTTCCAGAGAATATATTTAGACCATGAAAAAGAGAATTTTGCATTAAAAAAATAATAATAATAATAACTTAATGTTTTCTTAAAAAAAAAAAAAAACTCTAGGGGCCCATTTGAGTTTTGTTTTGCCAGTGCAAAATGTCCTGACTGACCTGCAACCTTGGTTTAATTATGAATATGCATGATCCTTGTGAAGCAAGCAGGTAGGTCTTTGTCATCTGATCAAAGCTGACAATCAGCAGCATGGATTCATATACAGACATAATGAAGTGTGACGTTTCTTTCTCTGTATATGCTGTGGACTGGAGCTCTGCGAAGAGTCAAACTACCTTTGCGTGACTTCCCTGGCTTTGCCATGCATACTGTAACCAAACCCAACGTGGAAATGTTTATACTTTTGACCCTATTTGGAGTAGCCAGAACCCATCCCCCTCAAACCAAGACGGTGGATTTCATGGTGTTTATACTATGCATAAGCCAATTACATAGAGGGTTAAAGTTGATACAATGTTAAATTCTTACGTGTGTGTGTCACACACTGAACAAAGGAAAGGTCAAAGCACCAACATATTTATTTAAAATGTCATACAGGAAGAAACAGAAAGAAAAGAAAGAACAAAATGTAGGCCTATTATAAAGGAGCATCTTTGTTTTATACATCTTTCTATATTTTTATTTTTATAGGCTACTTTGTGTCTGATATCTGTGTAGAAAATAGCTGCTGTTAAAAATGAATAAAACAAAGATTATTGGATTATGTTTTACAAAAAATACTATTTCAGTCTTTCTTAATATTTTAATGTGTAACTTACGGTTTTCTCCACTTTCCTTGATACAGTATCAAACTAGGCTATTAAATCTTTTTTAAAAGAAAGAACGAAAGAAAGAAAGAAAAAGAAAGAAAGAAAGAAAGAAGAAGAGTTTGAATGAGTTTATTATATGAATGAGTATTAAAGGAGTCACGCGCTTCAGATCCGCGGCGCATGATCTGGGGCACGTTCAAGCTCAAACCGGTGTGCATCGTTTTGCTACGGTTTCCGGTTTGAACGACATGTTTCCTGGAAACGGTGTGCAAAGGTGTGCAACGGGGTTTGAGATACGTTTTCTCTTGTTTGGTGGGTGTGTCAAACATGTCAGCCCAATCTAATAATAACTTAATGTTTTCTTAAAAAAAAAAAAAAACTCTAGGTGCCCATTTGAGTTTTGTTTTGCCAGTGCAAAATGTCCTGACTGACCTGCAACCTTGGTTTAATTATGAATATGCATGATCCTTGTGAAGCAAGCAGGTAGGTCTTTGTCATCTGATCAAAGCTGACAATCAGCAGCATGGATTCATATACAGACATAATGAAGTGTGACGTTTCTTTCTCTGTATATGCTGTGGACTGGAGCTCTGCGAAGAGTCAAACTACCTTTGCGTGACTTCCCTGGCTTTGCCATGCATACTGTAACCAAACCCAACGTGGAAATGTTTATACTTTTGACCCTATTTGGAGTAGCCAGAACCCATCCCCCTCAAACCAAGACGGTGGATTTCATGGTGTTTATACTATGCATAAGCCAATTACATAGAGGGTTAAAGTTGATACAATGTTAAATTCTTACGTGTGTGTGTCACACACTGAACAAAGGAAAGGTCAAAGCACCAACATATTTATTTAAAATGTCATACAGGAAGAAACAGAAAGAAAAGAAAGAACAAAATGTAGGCCTATTATAAAGGAGCATCTTTGTTTTATACATCTTTCTATATTTTTATTTTTATAGGCTACTTTGTGTCTGATATCTGTGTAGAAAATAGCTGCTGTTAAAAATGAATAAAACAAAGATTATTGGATTATGTTTTACAAAAAATACTATTTCAGTCTTTCTTAATATTTTAATGTGTAACTTACGGTTTTCTCCACTTTCCTTGATACAGTATCAAACTAGGCTATTAAATCTTTTTTAAAAGAAAGAACGAAAGAAAGAAAGAAAAAGAAAGAAAGAAAGAAAGAAGAAGAGTTTGAATGAGTTTATTATATGAATGAGTATTAAAGGAGTCACGCGCTTCAGATCCGCGGCGCATGATCTGGGGCACGTTCAAGCTCAAACCGGTGTGCATCGTTTTGCTACGGTTTCCG